TTATGAATTTAGGTATAATTTTATAGACTAATTTATAAATCTTAATATTGTATAAGATATAACTTATAATTTAACTAAATATTAGGGATAAGTTTATGAATTTAGGTACAATCTCGTACTTTGCTTGTTGGTTATCGCGTCGATATTGTGATAGTTTTCTTCTCTAAGTTTCAAATTATGTTCACTAGCTCATTCAGGCACGCCTTCTTCCTCTTCTTTAGTCTTTACTCTGGTCTCCTCTGCGTGTAGTAGAGTTGTATGTCACCTTATACACAGATCCAAAACCACATTCCCCAATCTTGTTTGTTGCATCGAAGTTGTTTGTGGCTGCTTTAATTTGTCGTAAGGTGAATACTCCAGTTTTCAGATCTAATCCTCTTAGTTCTATTTTGATCTTCTTTTTCTAGATTGGGAAAATGCAAAGGTAAAGATCCAAACATCGGGCTATATTTTATGCATCCTGGATCATTTGCTTAGATTTGTATATGCTTTTTTTGGTTGCTGGTGTGGGGAAATAGATGAAATCAAAAGATGGTGTCCCTCGGTTCAAGAACAGAGATAAAAAAGACTTAAACAACGAAGAAGAAGAAATTATAATTCTAAGATAATCTTTGTGCGTCAAAAGACAAAGAGATTCTAAACCTGTTTCGAACCCTTACAAATGGTTAGCTGCCAAGCCCAGTTTGGAGCAACGACGACTAGCCGTCCTTTCATGGGGAAACCAACGGCTAGAAAAAGTGAATCCAGATGTGGATGAAATAATGAAAAAGGAAAAGCAAAGGAAAATATTAGGAATTGAACTTATTTCTTTTGAAAATTTTGTGTGTCGAGCTATGATGAAAGCATTGGGAAGCCATTTAACGAACAAATACTCCGAATGAATTCTTGGAGCTAGGTACTATACTGGAAACCAGTTTATAGATCAAATCAAAACCCTATGCCAAGACCGTGCATTGGCAGCTTTTAATCTTGAATCTGAGAAATGAGGTGTCAATGTGCAGCCTTATTCATGTACCTCTGTGAATTTTTCTGTTTATACCAGACTTTTGTTGCCCGGTATAACTTAAGTTTGTTGTCAGGTGGGTCTAGCCCGGTACGTCTCCAGTTGGGTAGTGGGTGTGGAGATGGATTTGAGAATATACTCGCGTGGGTGGGTGTGGATTTGAAATTTTTACCCATCATGAGTGGTGGGCAGGTGGTGGGCATGTGGTGGATTGAAAAATATTTGGTGGGTATGGGGATGAGGGAAGGGGTATCCATACCCGACCTGCCCGTTTTCTATCCCTAGGTTTGGGTTTGGGTTCGGGTTTGGGATCAGGTTTGGGTTTGGGATCGGGTTTTGGTTCGGGTTAGGGGTTAGAGAATATGAATAGTGTTTAATGTTTGGCGTTAGAGAAGATAAACAGTTTTGGTTTCGATTTTCAGAGTTTGTAAGGATCAAAGAAGTGTTTCGGGATGAACAGTGATGAAATGATGTTTGGTTTTGGTGTTTGATCAAAAAAACCAAGTTGGTTAAGTGTTGGGTGTTTGTAAGGATTTGGGGAAGAACATTGATGAACAATGGATGAATTTGGGGGTGTTTGATCAAAAAACATGAAATGGTTTGGGTTTCGGTGTTTTTGAAGATCAAAGAAGGGTTTTGGGGAAGAACTCAGATGAACACGGATGAATTTTTTGGTGTTTGATTGAAAAAACACAAAATGGTTTGAGTTTTGGTGTTTTTAAAGATTAAATGAGGGTTTTGGGGATGAACACGGATAAATTTTTGGGTGTTTGATCGAAAAAACACGAAATTGTTTTGGTTTTGGTGTTTTTGAATATCAAAGGAGGGTTTTGGTGAAGAACTGGGATGAACAAGTGATGAACACAGTTTGTTATTTTCCTTTATTTTTCTCAGTTTATATATATAGTTCATATGTAAACTATAGTTCATATATATAGTATATAAATATAAACTATAATTTATATAAATAGTATAAAATATAGTATATAAATATAAACTATAGTATGTAGTATATAAATATAAACTATAATTTATATATATAGTATATACTATATAAATAGTTTATATATAATTTACATAGTTTATACATATAGTTCATATGTAAACTATATAGTATATATAGTTTACATATAGTATAAGTTAGTTTATATAGTTTATATATAGTTTAAATACTACTATCTATAAAATATATCCATAAATTAACCCTAAATCTTAAAGCATGTATACTATATATATAAACTATAGAGTTTATATTAATAAACTATATAATTTATACAATATATATTATTTATAATTATACATAATATATAAATATAAATTGTATAGTTTATATATAATTCATATAGAGTTTATATATACACTATATAATATTATAGTTTATACATGATATATATAGTTTATACATAATATATATAATATATAGTTTATATATAGTGTATAATAATATAAATATAAGAGAAAATAACCTCAGTGACCAAAAATCCCAGATAATATACGATTTTGACCAACTTTTTTTGGATTTGCGAAAATGAACAACAAAATCGCAATGCGATCTCTAATTCGCATTGCGATCTCCACTATCGCAAATTCGCGTTGCATTTCGTGTTGAGATTTTTCATTTCGCGTTGCGATAATCGCGTTGTGATTTTTCAGTTCGCGTTGCGATAGTTGAAAATCGCGTTGCGATAGTCTACAGTTGTCGTTGCGATTTTCCAAATTTGTTGCGATTTTCCAAATTCGTTGCGATAGTTTACAGTTGTTGTTGCGATAGTCTACAGTTCCAAATTCGTTGTGATAGTTAAAAAAAATATTTTTTTTTTCTAAAAAGATAGTATCCGCGCGGACGTGTCGAAGACACGTATTACCACGACCACGACCACGACCACGACCACGACCACGACCACGAACGACCACGACCCGAGACGAGACGGACGACGGCGGCGGCGGCGCGCGAGAGTCCCCCTTGTTCTCTATCACTCAACAAGGAAGTGAGAAAGCCAAGCCTTAAATACTATTCCCAATAGTGTTTCCAATACTATGTGGGATTTGAGCATTACCAACACTTGTTCCCAATACTATGTGGGATTGAGCCTTAAATAGTGATATTATTTTTGAATATTTTGCTTAAAATTGCAATAATCGCAATTGATTGTAGATTGACTTTTAATTATGACATATTTAATCGTATAATACTAATGCAATTGGTTGCTAATTCAGTTATTTTAAGGTGCATGATTGTTAATTATTTCCTGAATAATCACATTGTATTGGAAACAAGTGTTGGTAATGCTCAATCCCACATAGTATTGGAAACACTATTGGGAATGGTATTTAAGGCTTGGCTTTCCCACTTCCTTGTTGAGTGATAGAGAACAAGGGAGACTCTCGCGCGCCGCCGCCGTCCGTCTCGGGTCGGGTCGTGGTCGTGGTCGTGGTCGTGGTAATACGTGTTGTGATTTTCTACTATCGCAACGCGATTTTCAACTATCGCAACGCGAAATGCAACGCGAATTTGCGATAGTGGAGATCGCAATGCGAATTAGAGATCGCATTGCGATTTTGTTGGTCATTTTCGCAAATCCAAAAAAAGTTGGTCAAAATCGTATATTATCTAGAATTTTTGGTCACTGAGGTTATTTTCTCTAAATATAAACTATATAGTTTATATATATAATATTACAGTTGTTTTAATTTTTTCTCAACTTTTGAAATGAATGCAATTTAGTCCATTTTACAGTATTTTTTTAACATTTTGCAATCATTTCGATTTGATCCTTCTGTGTTGTTTAATTTATTTAAATTTTTATTTGTAGTTTCATATTTGTTCAATTTTTTCCTCCAAATTATATTTGCATCTGAAATTGACACATACTTATTACTTATTTATATTTTTTAATTGGCCCATAACTTTTTAAAAGGGTATAATTTGGTACTTTTTTGTATTAATTTAAACCTCACAATTTAAAATTATTTTGATTTGATCACTCATCAATGTGTGTTGTTTAATTTATTTAAATTTTAATTTGTAATTTCATATTTGTTCAATTTAGTCCTTAAAATTATATTTCCATCTCAAATTGACCCATACTTATTACTTATTTATATTTTTTAATTGGCCCATAACTTTTTAAATAAGTATAATTTAATATTTTTTGTATTAATTTCAACCTCAATTTAAAATTATTTCGATTTGATCCGTTTGTGTTGTTTAATTTATTTAAATTTTAATTTGTAATTTCATATTTGTTCAATTTAGTTCTTAAAATTATATTCGCATCTGAAATTGACAGATACTTATTACTTATTTATATTTTTAAATTGGACCATAACTTTTTAAATGGGTATAATTTAGTACTTTTTTTGTATTAATATAAACCGCACAATTTTAAATTATTTCGATTTGATCCCTCATCAATGTGTTTTGTTTAATTTATTTAAATTTTAATTTGTAATTTCATATTTGTTCAATTTAGTCCTTCAAATTATATTTGCATTGATATTGACCCATACTTATTACATATTTATATTTTTTAATTGACCCATAACTTTTTAAATGGGTATAATTTAGTACTTTTTTGTATTAATTTCAACCTTATAATTTAAAATTATATTGATTTCATCCTTTTGCGTTGTTTAATTTATTTAAATTTTTATTTTTAATTTTATATTTGTTCAATTTAGTCCTCCAAATTATATTTACATCTAAAATTGACCCATACTTATTACTTATTTATATTTTTTAATTGGCCCATAGCTTTTTAAATGGGTATAATTTAATACTTTTTTGTATTAATTTCAACCTCACAATTTAAAATTATTTCAATTTGATCCCTCATCAATGTGTGTTGTGCAATTTATTTAAATTTTAATTTGTAATTTCATATTTGTTCAAGTTAATTCTTAAATTTATATTTTTCATAAAATTGAACCATGATTATTTATATTCTTAGTAATTTACTCTAAAACATATATAATTACAAATTGCAATTCAACGTTCACGAAAGACGAAAATAATTAATCCAAAAATAAAAATTAACCCAATTTGAACTCAATCTGTATCTGATAGAAATCCGACCTAAATTTTATCAGACAATAATGTGACCCAATCTGAACGAGATATGCCTGAAGGCCATCCGAACCTAAATTAACCTGCTTTTTATCTATTCCGGACCTGAACTGACATCGATCCGAACTGAAAATAACCCGACCTGAACCCGAACTGTACGGTGTTAAATCAACCTGAAAATGACCCGACCTAATTTGACCTGGACTCGACCTGATCCGAGTCGAAACATCAAATTTACATAACTTGACATGTATCCGATTTTATCCAACCTGACAGGATTTGACTGAAACCTGAACGATTACCCGATTTTACATCCCTAACCTCCAAACCCAACTAGAAATAAAATTTACAACCTCGGTATCACAAATGGATCCAGCCAACAAAGGACTTAATTGATGAAGCTCGCATGATAGGGTTACGAAAAACCTTAATTACTTCGTCACCAGCCGCCAGCTTTCCACCACCATCAGATTCAGCTGGGATTCACGGTTCAGATCACTCCATGCGTTAGGGTTTTGAAACCCCATTGAGGTTCTCCAGGCGTCGCCTCTGCCCATCTCCATTCCAGATGCTTCCCAACTCCAAACCAATCCCTCCCTCAACCGAACACTCCAGAAGCTGTGCCAGCAAGCCCCCATCCACAACTCCTCCATGCCAGTTGGTCTTCCAGGTGGCCCCCTTTCTCAACGGATTTCGAATCCATAAACAAATCATGCAAAGGAAAATAAAAAGAAATCAGCAAAAAATTTTACTACTGTAATTTTGTAATAGAATGGATTTATAAAAACCCAAAAATCTCCATGTAAACGGGTCTTCTCTACCCCAATTGAATACATAGCAATAAAATCTCTTACTCCATTTTTCAAGCAATACACGTTTTTTTAATCAAAAAGCAAACAAAACAAAGAAAAAATTATCAAATTCTTCCCTATATTTTACTCTAAAAAATGAGACAAATAAAAGTAGATAGGTATTCTTCCTACTCGTATTCCCCATTTGAAACAAACAAGGTAAAAACGAAAAAAATGAGAAAGAGAGAACCTTACCTCTCTGCCAACGACGTCTGTGATGATTGGGACCTTTCTTGTTTAATCTGAACCGTGAGAAGGCACGATGTATCCCCAAGAGCAGCATACTTCAGAATAAATTTGATCAAACGACTGATGGAGAAAATCGACGAGGTGAAAGTCGAAGGGTTCTAGACCTGTTTTGAAGAGTTACGTTCCGATTCTCTCTAAACTAAGCCCGAATATGTATTCTCGACGTTAGAGAGAGTCTACCGGTGTATTTTGGGATTTAACGGTCACCGGAGACGACGGTCGACACAGTGGTCGACAGCGACAAAACGATCGAAGGTAGCACTCTTCATCGGATTCTAGAAAACATATAGAGGGGGGAGTTTTAAAACATAGAAAGAGAAGAAAGAACAAAATAAAAAGGGGAAGAATGAGGGGCTTTATACCCCCATCAAACGACGTCGTTTTGAGACATACCTACGCGTTTTGGATCCGAGGGGTCTAATCCCTCTTATGGTCATCGTAAGTGTTTCCGGATACAATTTAGTCCTTAATTTTTATTATTTCATTCATTTTAAATTTCATGTCCTTATCTTGCTTTTTTCCACTATTAACTATTGAGTTATTTTCTTTCAAGTCATCCAACCTTTGTCGTGTATTTACAAGTCGATCTCTAGTCCTTTTTTTTATTTATTTCAATTCGAATGCTTAATTTCCATTTATGTTACTTTAGTCACCATATTGAACTTTGATGTTTTACTCATATTAGGTCCCTGAATTTATTTGTTAGGTATAATTTAGTCCCTACATTAATTGTATCCCTAACTAATCCTAGTATTAATTTTATATAATAATTTCATTTGGTAATTTGTAAATAACTAATTATTATTTTTAAACTAAATTTGTATTAATAATTTTAGCACATTTAGATTTGCTATGCATATTTGTTTTTATATATTAATTTCGATTATGTTTAATGTATTTTATTTTAATATTAATACTTTCTTTAAATTAGATTTTTACAATAATCCTTTAGATTTAATTCTTTAAATTTAGTCCATAGTTAGAGCTTTAGACTTTAAATTTAGCACCTTAGATTTATATTTCTCACACTTTAGTCCCTGAACTTTTTTAATTTAGGGAATTATTCGATTTGGCCCTCACATTAAAATGTCCAAGGGTCCATTTCGATTATTCGATTCAATAATTGGTTAAAATAAATTAGGATTAATATTAGAGCCTCCACTTTAAGCTTATTTTCACTATAGTCCTTTAATTTAGGGAATAATTCGATTTAACTATCGTATTAAAATGCTTGAGTGTCCATTTCGATTATTCGACTCAATAATTGGTTAAAATAAAGGGTTAAGTACATGGAAAATCACTTACGCTTATGTTTTGTCCACTTTTGGTAATTGATTTCAAAAAACATAAGATATGATCACTTTTGTTTTGATTTAGTTAAGGTGTTGTACCCAGAGTTAAATGTCGTTAACAACAGTTAAATATTTTGATATAATCACACATTTGCCACTGTTATTTACTTATTCTCTCATTTTAGTCCTATTGTTAATAGATTAAACTAAATTTAATCCTCCAATCGAATGATGCCACATGTCATACCACGTAAGGGTGAGCGTTCAATCGAGCTGAGTTGAGTAAAAAATGTGAGTTATTCGAGATGATGAGTCCCATTTTACAACTCGAAGTTGACTTGAAATTTTTTAGAGTCTAGTCAAATTTTTAAGTTTCTGTTTAAATTTAATTATAAATATTTATAATATTATGATATTATTTAATTCCAATTTAAATGATCTTTTATAACTATATACAATACATTTGTATTTCTTTATATTTTTTTCATATGTGAAAATCAATCCACTAATTACTAAATTTTTGAGTTATTCGAGTTGTATTTTACAACTCAATTTGAACTTGAAATTTTTTCGAATCAAGTCGAGTCAAGTTTATGAAATTACAACTCGAAGTTAATTCGAATCAAGTTTTCAAGAGTCGAATCGAAAAATCGGTTTTTCGAGTTGAGTAAAATTTTACTCACCCCTAATGCCACGTGTCAACATTCGGTTGGAGGATTAACTTTATTTTAATTTAATATATTTATTTTCACTAATCAAAGAGTGGCATGTGTCACCCTTAAGGTTAAATGCAAACAAAGGAAAGCAAATTGGGGGAATATTTTATTTTTTTTTTTTTTTTTTTCATTTAAAAATATTTTTTTAATGTTAAAATTTATTTAAAAATATGACTAAATTGAGAGCATTTGTAAGTAACAGTGACCAAATGTGTGATTATACAAACTATCACGTCGCATATCCTATTAATTGTTAATAGCAGTTAACCCGTGATGACCATGTCTTAATTAAATAAAAACGAAAGTGTCCATATCTTATTTAAATAAAAACGAAAGTGACCATATCTTATGTTTTTTTGAAATCAATGACAAAAAATGGACAAAACATAAACATAAGTGATTTTCCATGTAGTTAACCCTAAAATAAATTAGGATTAATATTAAAGCCTCTATTTTTGGTTCTTTAAATTACATAATTTGACACTTTAAGTTAGGGATTGTGTTAATTAACTCACCTAGTATAATTAGATTCATAAATGGTTGCTTAGTTGCATTTCGATTTTTTTTTAAAAAGTAATAAGGCAATGTTCATTTATCAACGAATTAATACTGTATGCTCCACGTTATGCTCACGGGGTGACCACTAGTAATTTGTTGAAAACATTTTGATATTTCGATATAACAAATAAAGTGTTAAATAATTTTAAGATTTTATATTCGATTTAAATATTATATTTGATTAAATTATTCGAATATTACAAATATTACTCCAAGTTTTCAAATATCAATTTTTACTCCTTACTAAATGAAAAATTGAGATTTACACTTAAAATATAGTTGAAACAATTTTTACAAAGTATTTCGAACCATAATTGAGCCAAAATTGATATTTCATAAGGTAGTGCCGATACTGCCTTAACAGTATCGATACCCCCAAACATCGAATGCAAAAGAGGTACTGATACCCTACACGGTATCGATACCATTATATATAGTAGTATCGTTACCATAGTCAATGGTACCGATACTACCCCTTTGGTTTTGACTCTGAATTTTAACAGAGTGCAAAACGGGTACCGATACCATGTTAGGTATCGATACTACTTTACATAGTAGTATCGATACTCACTGGACGATATCGATACTACTGCACAGTAGTATCGATACCCTCTGGACAATATCGATACCGTTGGTTTGCAACGGTCGAAATATTTGAATTTTATACAGGTAGTATCGATACCCCTATGAAGGAGTACTGATACCCATACGCTCCCAACAGACTTTTCAAGTGGATTTCACACTACAACGGCTCTATTGACTCGAATATGATTCCCAACGTTCAGAATTCATTCCAGGTGTATTTAAACAAGCTATTTAAGCCTTTGGTGAACAATAAAAGCTAGAAAAACAAAAGAGAAAGCCTTAAACAACAAGTTTGAGCAATTCAAGACAACATCCATTCAATATTCATTTTTCTTTCAAGAACACAATTTGTGCTCAATTGTATTCATTTTTTAGTATTCATTTTTTAGTGTTCTTTCTTTGTTCTAGAATTGTTCAAACATCTTACCTTGTGATTTTTTTCTTCTAAGTTTGTAATTTTCTCTTTGAGAAGAGAGTGTCTCAAGAATTTGGGGTATAATTCTTGAGGGAGTTGTAAGGTTACTCTTTCTCCTCGAAAGAAAGACAAATTAGTGAATTTATGGAAAATCCTTAGTTTGGATAGCTAAGGTAGTGGACGTAGACTTTGGTGGATAAAGTTGAACCACTCTAAATCGATGTGCAAATTATTTCTATTTTATGTCAAAGCTTCCACCAAAATTTTAATTGCCAATTCACCCCCTCTTAGTTAATTCATCCGATCGATTGACTCAACAATTGATATCTGAGCTACACTCATTTGAAGGTTTTACCATGTCTTGAGAAGATCCGTGAAGAGTTCAGTTGTTATCTAAGTCATTTATGGCCTCTACATCAAACTTCGACTTCGTTCTTGATTCTCAACCCGTCAACAAGCCTCCTTTCTTCAATAGAGCTAACTACGCCTAGTGGAAGAATAAGATGAAGTTCTTCATTCAAGAAAGTGACATGGGAGCATGGAACATCATGATGAAAGGTTACTCTACACCATCCAAAGATATGGATTTGTTCAGTGAATAAGAGACGAGACAATGTCAGCACAATTCAACAACAATCCCTATTCTATTTTGTGCACTTAGACTAGATGAATAGGAGAGAATATCATCTTGTTTAACCACCAAGGAGATATGGGACAAGCTTCAAGTCACATATGAAGGAACTAATGAGGTAAAAGAAACCAAAATTAGTCTTCTTAATCATAACTATGAAAATTTCATGATGAAACCAGATGAAGATATCAAAGCTATGACTGATAGATTTTTCGTAATTGTCAATGGTCTCGAGGGATTCAGAGAAATAATCCCTAATGAGAAGTTTATAAGGAAGATAATTTATTCTCTTCCAAAAGCTTGGCAATCAAAGAAGACTGCAATTATCGAAGCTAAAGACCTAAAGTCTTTAACTCTCGATGAGCTCATTGGTTCTCTCCTCACTCACGAAATGATGATTCAAGATGAGGTAGATCACAAAAAGAATGACGATACAAAGAAGGAGATAGAGAAAAAGAAGAACATTGGCGTTACTCTCAAATCCACCAAAGATAAGAGTGAATCTGATGATAATGAGGATGAAGAAATGGCATTGCTTGCCAAAAGTCTTAGAAAATTAATGAAGGAAAATAGAGGAAGAAAATTTCAACATAATGAAGGCTTCAAAAATGAGTCCAAGGAGAAGCACCCAATCATTTTCTATGACTGCAAAAAGTCTGGGCATGTTAAATACGATTGCCCACAATTGAAGAAGAATGATCTTTCAAATAAGAAGCATAAAGCATATGTGGCTACTTGGAACGATGATGAATCCTCCGATGAAGAGGAATAAGAAGTAGTAAACTTGTGCTTAATGTCCACTGAGGAGGATTCTTAGGTAACCTCTAACTCATCCAATTTAGAAGATTATTAATTTGATGAGTTATTAGAGGAATATTATGAGTTGGCATCGAATTATGAGAAATTATTTTCAAAAAACAATAAAGATACTTCAAAATTGAAAATTGAAAAAGATCTCATATCCAAGACCAACAGTGAACTCGAAAGTAAGAGTAATGAATTGCAAATCAAAATAGAAGATTTTGAAAAGAAAATTTTGATTTGCAAAACCTACTTTCTAGAGTTAATGATGATCATCAAAAGAAAATTGATGATCT